AAAACCTTTGTTCGAAGAAGAAGTTAGAAAAATGCATGAAAAACAAATAGAACATGAACGTGAGATATGTTCTGGTTATAGAGATTCTCCATACGAACTAGACCAATGGGAACAAGAAGATTTAAAGAGAGAATTTAGAGAATATGAACTCGCTAAGATAGCATTAGAAGCTGCAGAAGAGAAGTTAAAAGCTTGGGGTTGTTTTGTACAAAAATATTGTGAGTAAATGAACCATTTTTTTTATTGAATTCGACAAAAATATATTTTAGGGTAGATGGCTAGATCTACCCTCATTTCTACCCTCATTTCTACCCTCATTTCTACCCTCGTAGAAAACACACAAAACTCGTTCATTTTGTATAAAAAAAGCAACCCGCGGAATTCCGCGGGTTGGTATATTCTTCACAAAATGCTTGTTTTGAGGTCGAGCCATTTTTGGCTCCACCGTATTTTAAACCAAAACTCTTGAACTTTGTATAAAAAGCAACCCGCGGAATTCCGCGGGTTGGTATATTCTTCACAAAATGCTTGTTTTGAGGTCGAGCCATTTTTGGCTCCACCGTATTTTAAACCAAACTCATTTTTGTCTGATTTACGCTCATTGACGAAGAAATCGTGAAAAAACATATACGATGAAGTATATTTCCTGTGTTGTTGTCAAAATGTCATGTTGTCACACTTTTTCAGAGAAGTTCATTTAACCGAGTGACCGAGTGACCTGGTCGCCTAAAATATATTTTATTGAATTCTGAGTAAAATGACCAAATTTCATGAATTTCCTCATATGTTTGCGACCGGTAGAAAACCGCGGGTCGAGATTCCGTACGAAAATCGTAAAAAAATTCTATGAAAATCGTGGAAAAAATGCTACCCCGACTTTTTCCGGCCTTGCATAAAACTCATGAAAATCGTGAAAAATTGCGACCCCGATTTTTCCCGGGGTCGCCTAAAACACATGAAAACAGTGAAAAAACTCATGAAAATCGTGAAGAACAGCGAGTGGGAGAAAAACCCCAGTCGCCAAAACTCTATGAAAATCGTAAAAAAACTCTATGAAATCATATCTTTTATACAAGATAGAAAAAATAAAATTAACGTTAGTTTTTTTAAAATATTTTTTTTTATTTTGTATGTAAAGACAGGAAATGTTAAACATTGAGTTTGAAACAGTTAAAAAGATAGACAATGACACCAAGGTGGTTAGAATAGGTGATTTAAACGTAAGATACTCAAAGAAATACAAAAAATATTCTTTGTCAGACATTTTAACACTATCTGAAAAGAAAACATCCCACGACTGGGTTAGAAATGCTTCTACTCAGAAAATTTTGACAAAAAATCCTGAGCTTATGATATCGGTAAGATTCTATGGAACAAGAGCATATCTTATAGACAAAAGTCTTATACCAGTAGTTTTGTTCTGGATTGACCCGGTTGTTGGATATAATTTCATAACATATGGTTCATTCGATACTGAACGTTGCAGTGAAGGCTTACTTTACATCGTTCAGAAACCGAAGGACTTCAATACAAAGAGATATAAGATAGGAAGAACATTTAATATAACTCAAAGATATGACAGTATAGTCAATAGAGTTAAGGTTGCGTTTGTTAACGATATGAGAGCTGCTGAAACAGAACTACTTGAAAAGTTTGAGAAGATGTATGGTGCTCCCATAAAAGGTAAAGAAACGTTTGAAGTAGATGAGATCGACAAAGCTATAAAATTATTTGACGAAGTTGCTGAAAAATACATGTAAAGCGTTTATTTTTGGTCTTTTGTGAAAGATAGAAAATAACGCTAATTTTATTTTTTTTTATTTTTTTATTTTGTATGTAAAGACAGTAATGTCAACAACAGAGAACACAACAACTGCTATCGTTCATGAAGCCATAAGTGAAGAATACGAGTGGGTTCAGTATAACAAACAGTTACGTCTCATTCGTTCGGTCAAAGATGACATGTACCAAATGCAAAGTATTTTGAATACTCTTCGTTCTACAAAGCAAGCATACCATTGGTTTGAAAACCAACAGGCACAAGAACTTTTAGAAGAATTTCCTCATATGTTTGCGACCCTCGGAAAACCGAGGGTCGAGATTCCGTACGAAAATCGTAAAAATTTGCCAAATGGTTTGAGAGGTTGGTATGTACATAGACTTCTTGTAAATGCTGTTGCAATGTGGGCTTCACCTCGCTATGCTTGTTATATTTTCATGATGTTAGATGAAATTCATAGACAAGAACGTGAAGAGCTAGAGAACAAGCTTGAAGCAAAAGACAAAAGCGTTCAGAAAAGAATACCACGTTCGGTACCAAAAGGAAAGGAAAAGAACTATAAGTATATGATTTACACTGAAGAGATGGAAAATGAAGAAGACAGAGATATGGTTATGTTGCATTTAGTCAGAAGAAACAACAAAAGCTTTTACGACCTTGCTAAGATTTACAAATCTGACAGAAATTGGTTCTATCGCGAAAACTTACCGATTTCAATGACACCGAATGAAGATGTTAAAAAGATAGTTCAAGATACGTTACCTCAAACACACTATGATATGAAAGGTTGTACAATACTTACATTCAAAGAAGATTTGCCATTACTGAAAGAAAGATAACAGAGTATTTTGACAACTTCAAACAAGCAGAGTAGATGAACCATTTATTTTTCAAGCTTGACACCAAAGATGGCTCAGGTAGCTCTATAAGGTAAATTGTCTTGTCAATCCTTCTGGCATTCCGAGTCCTTCCTTCCAACATTCCGAGTCCTTCCTTCCGACAGGAAAAAAATTTCCTTCCAACAGGAAAAACTTTTCCTTCCTACAGGAAAAACTTTTCCTTCCTACAGGAAAAAATTTTCCTTCCTACAGGAAAAAATTTTCCTTCCTACAGGAAAAAATTTTCCTTCCTACAGGAAAAATTTTTCCAGTTGTCCGTCCGTAAACCATTCAAATTTTCGAAAATTGAGAACTTTTTGGCCGACCTTCAGAAAAAGTTTTTCCTTCCAACAGGAAAAGTTTTTCCTTCCGACAGGAAAAATTTTTCTTTCCGACAGGAAAAGTTCTTCCTTCCGACAGGAAAAGTTCTTCCTTCCGACAGGAAAATAACAGAGTATTTTGACAACTTCAAACAAGCAGACTAAGACTCAAACACTTACATTTTTACGCTTGACTTTTTACAATTTGAACTTTGTTTGCGTAGATATGATTCTGAAGAAGTATGAGGGTCTTGTATGACTTTGTACTTCTCCCATAGTTCATGTCTGTCAAACTTACCTGCCATGGACTCTTTCATAAGTTCCATGAAATCGTCTTCGGACAATCCGGGGAAAAGTATGATATCAGTAAGTATTCTCTTTACATCCTTACTTAAACTCTTGGCTGTCTGTACACAAATGACAACTGAGATGTTAAAGTGTCTGAGCTTCTTAAGAATTCGACACATGTCTTGTTCTCTATTCTTTAACAAAGGATGAGAAGCAAAGTCATCTAAGATAAGAAGACACCTATGAGGGTAAGTCTTCCAATCGTAAGATTGCAATTTCTCTCGAAATGTACTCTATCTCTTTCTGTTTGTTTCTGAAGTGTTTCTTCTCTAATATTCTCTGCATTTCCTCATTTGGGTCTTTAAACTTCGAATTGACATACTCATTTATAGCATTGTACTTCAAAACTCTTCTTTGGTACTTCTTTATCCAATCTAACAACTCAGAGTCTTTTATACATACTAACTTAGACTTTTTTATAATATCTTTGAACGAATTGACGGTTTGGTCAAATTGACCAGAAGTACTACAAATGACTACTAACTCATAGAATGGGTTCTTCTCATCTAGTTCTTGTTGTTGTGCAGCCATTTTAAGATAAGTGAAAGTCTTACCCGACCCAGGCGGTGCGATTAGACCTGTTATACCATTCTGAGCAAATAAGAACTTGTCATGTATGGGTTTTATCTGAGCATTTTCCAACTTCCTCTTGTTCTTATTTAAAACATTCTCAAATTTCTTGTCAATGTCAGCAAACTTTTTTTCTAACATATTTTTAGAAAAATTAAAATTTTTATCTTTTAGAAAATGTCTAGCGATTTCGCTATCTATATTCGAGACAAGCTTTTCGACAGCAAAACATCTGTCGACCATAAAATCTTACATAGTGTAAACAAGAAAGGGGAATTTGTTCTAAAGTTCTGTTTCTGGAATATGACAAGAACCATAAAACATTAAGCAGAGCAGTCTTAAAATTTGTCAATGACAGACTTGTTGACAGAGATGACGCCTCTTGGAGAGATGAAGTCCAACAAAACTTCTTAGAATGCAAAGAAGACACATGCGCTGTTCTTGAAAATGAAATAGAAAACAGAATAGAAGAGCTATTAAATGACAAAGCACTTTTACAAAAATATGGTTCTGAGAAGTTTGACATAACTCCACCAGAAAAGAAGAAGAGAGAAAAGAAAGAAAAGAAAGAAAAGAAAGTAGAAGAAGAGAAGAAAGAACCAGAGCCAGAGAAAAAGAAATTTGACATGTAAAAATAAAATTTTATTTTTAGAACATTTCTGGGTCAATGTCAATGTTCTCTTCCTCTTTAGGAGTAAACACTGGCTTAGACTCTAATAGCTTTTTACACAATTTACCTTGAACTTCTACAACTTTAGACTCATAATATTCATAGTCGTCTGCTTTCTTTGGTTCATAAGGTATAACAAGTTTGTATGCTTTGCCTTCTTTAAGGTTTGAAAACCTTCTGTCAAAACTTTCTTTGACTGTTAACAAACCTTCTATGTCTAAGTCTTCAAATTTCGCACCATTTTTAGTCACAATAGCAAACTTAACTGGTTCGATGTTCCAAACTTTGTCAAATGTAGACTTTTCAAAATGGTAGAAGTAAACATTCAAATATGTGAATGGGTCTAGTTCTTCTTTAAGTCCTGACATGTACTTGTTTACTGAGATGAATTTCGTCATCTTTTCTATCGGATAAAAAAATATTTTTTTTAAAATTTACTCAGAAAAATTTTTCTTTGTATATACACCATTCTGAACATCTAAAAGACTTTTGACATTTGCCAAGAATGTTCGTTTAGACGCTGTCATATAACCATACTCTTGACAATATTGTTTATACGAATCGTACAATGACCTTTCATCTAAACACTCAAAGTCAGTTTCATCTATGAACAGTTCATATACACTCTTGTTTGCTTCTAACAATGTTTGTCTCTCTTCGGTATATGGAATTTGTCTTGGATTGAACTTAGAAATATCTAATGTCATGAAATATGAGAACAAGTGGTTGTAAAAGTTAGGTGTCAAAGTTTCTGCTAAGTCGTCAAAATATTCTGTATCTTGCATATGAGAATCTGACGTTCTGACAACTACATATCTTCTGTCAGAACTTTCTAACTTCATCGGAACGGCATTGTTTGAAACCATGATGAAATTTGCAACATTTTCACAAACTCTTTGGTCTTTATATTTTCTTTCAACAACTCCAACTTTGTCTGTTATAAGACTCTTCAAAGCATCCGAGTTCAAAACTTTTGTTGTATCTATACTTTGAAGTTCGTTACATACTATAAGTTTCATATTCTCTATTGAAGAGTTAAATTTACCGCAGATGTTTTCTAAGTTTGTCATATTCGGGTTCGAATAGCCCTCTAACAGTTTGCATAAGATATCTGTAAAGAATGTGTTCTTACCTGTTCCTTGTTTTCCAATTATGATGAGAGCAGTTTCATTTTTAGCACTTGGATGTTGTAAGATGTTTGCAAACCAACATAAGACATACTCATAGACTCTTTCGTTTCCATTGCATATAATTTCTTTGACATGGTCTAACCAAGCTTCTATAACATTTTCTTTCCATTCTACTTGTTCGTATTTATATCCAGTGAAGATAGAATAGAAGTTTGGAGATGGTGTATAGAACTTTATACCACGAACTGAAAAATCATCTAACTTTGACAATAAGATATCCCAAGCATCTAACATCTTCATACCAACTTGTACGACTTTTATTTTCTTAAGTTTCTGTCTACATTCTTGTTCTGAAACTATGGTTGCTCTTGGTTTGTTAAAGACTACATCCCATTCTTTCATGACATAACATTCTGGGGCAGAGTCAACATAAATGACTAAACGTTTCAAATTCTCGACTGCTTTGTTATAGTCTCTAAATGGACACATATTTCTGAAGGCTTGGAAGTCATAAAAATCTGAAACATCTATTCTGTACATTTTTATAAAAATAAAAAAAATATTTTTTTTATTCTTGACTTTGTTCCATTTGTTGCATTTGTTGTTCTTGAGCTATTTGTTGTTGAAGTTGTTCTTGTAGTACAATACTTTCACCAGTTGCATCTTCCAATTCGAAACTTTCTGCCGTCATTGACAAATACATAGGACATAAAAGTTTTACAGGAACAAAGTTTGCGTCGACTAAGGTTAAGTTTATGTTTGCTAAAGTGTTTGAGTTTACTAAAGCTGAAAACTCTGCATTCGAATGAACAATAGGCAAACAGCAGAGAATGTGTTGTTTATACGCATGAGTATCTTTGGTCATAGTAGTTTCTGTCGACATTCGAATAGCACTTTGAACCTAAGTTTGAAACAATATATAAAATAGGTGTACTTAAAGTCAATGGAACGATAGACCTTGTATGACACCTTTTCCTGTTATAGGAAACTGTTGGTAGTAAAAACCAGATATAAGTTTTGTATTATAGCTCATATCGTTTATACTGAACTCAGTCGGACATCCAAACATAATGAAACCTGCTCTAGTTGCAGCACATGTTACATCCGTCCTTAAAGTATTAAATAAGTCAACAAAACCTGTTGGTGGTATGTCTGAGTAAGTATCTTCAAAGAAGTATTTTTTACCATTCACAACAATAAAATCTTCTGGTGTCAAAAGAGCAAAACAGGCTTTAGTCGTCATCGTGTTTAAGGTCAGTTTACAATACCGTCCTTGAGGACTTTGTAAGTTTGTTGTTATAGAATTATATGACTCAGGGTTTTTAGTCGTAATAGTATAAACCACTATGTCTTCTGCCATTTACATATATTTAAAAGTTTTTCTGAAAGTGGAGAAGAACTTCATCTAAACTTTCACATGGTGTTTCTTGAAGTTCTCTGTCTAAGAAGTTCAAATATTTGTAAAGACATAGAACTTTCCTTTGTCTACACGAACAAACAAAACAGGGTCTTTCATATCGTTCAAAAGTGTGTAAAGTCCTTTACATGAAATAAAGTCTATATTATTTTTCTTCAAACATCTTTCAAGAAGTTTTGACATTTTTACTTAGCAAGTAAATTTTAATGAAATGTTGTGGTCGTCAAATATTTTTATAACGTCTGGGAAACTATATTTTAAGTTCAACGTTTCACCTCCTTTCATAACGTATATTTTGTCAATGATATTATATGAAACACCACAGCAAGCAATGTCGGGCTCTATTTTTGATGTTTATATCGTCTGCCTCTGTCAAAAGTTTCAATAGTTCTTTCAAAATTTCACGAGTGCGATGACATATGAGTTCACTTTACAGGGTTGTGTTCGACCAAGTTTAACATTATACCTAAAGCTTGACAAATCTTCTCCTGAGTTTTAAGTTTGTCTTTAAGTTGCATGTAGTCATTTCGAATATCTGCAACAGAACTTAAGTCTCTGCTAACTTCAGGATATGTTGGTTGTTCTTTTACAGGAACTATTGTTATACCATCTTCGTTTTCGTATGGTTTCCCCACTTCAACATCTCTTTCTTTGACATTGACAACAACACTTTGACTGTTTGTTTGAGTTGGTGAATTTAACTTCACATCTGCCACCGCCATTAAACCTTTTGAAACACTTACGCTTCTATTTTTCGGAAATGACATTTTACTTAGAATAAAAAGATGGACGTATTTGAGTATCTCTTCGAATTGAAGCAGAACAAAGTTTACACACACAAACAATACAAATACATTGATAGAATAGTTCTTTACACAAACAATGGAAAATGTTATAGAATAGCAGTCTTTGCTGAACCAAAATATTTTCATAAAGCAAAGAAAGTTGGTATAACCGAGATGGTGAAAGTTCTTGAAGCAGACAAAAATATAACAACAAAACTTACAGATATTTCTAAAGGTAAGTTTATAATACAATACTATGTCAAAACTGCGTACTGTCAATATTTGACGGAGAGAAGTCAGTTCAAGAAAAACTTACTGACCTGCTGCCAAAATCTGCTCGATGGAAGCTGTCGTTATGCCAATCTGAGGAGCCCCAGCAGGTTTCATGAACGAATCTTCAAAAGAGCATCTTCCGTGAAAAGTGCTATTGGTTTTGTAAACTTCTTTGCTTTCAATTCATCTGGACCGTCTCTGTCACCAGTATATTGTATTTGAACTGTACCAACAGTTGAAATACCACCCATAAAGTCTTCTGAGTCAGCAAATGGAATGCCAAGCCAAAAGTTTGAACGGTCTCCATTTGTATATTGAGTTTTTGACCTCCTGTATGATCCATACTTTCACATATGGCATAATAGAACTTTGCATTTCAGGGTTAATGGTTGTTGTGAAGTTGTGTTGTTAAAGTTCATAGCATCTAATGTCAAGTTGTATGACCTCATATCCTCAACTGTAGAATATTCTTCTCTTGGATAATATTTGCCATCTATGTTTATATGATATTTAATACCAGGTTGTAGAAACAAGAATAGTCATTTATAGTTCGTCTGAAAAGAACAAACATAGTATCTGCATTTTCATTGCAGTTGTTAAAGCAATATCTGTTCTTGCACCTGCGGCTCCTGATTTTGATTTCCAACTTCACCTGCAAAGTCTTTGACAGATATTTGGTGTATAGGGAACATAAGTGGAACTGCAATATATTTGGCAGCTAAAGCATTTGAAATATCTGGGTCCAACATATAGACTGCAAGTCTGCTTTCTATTCTCTTGCATTCAAATTTTTCGCATGTGAACTTAACTGGGTCCCAAGCAGTTCCAGCAGCATTGAAATAATAGTTTACTTCAGTGTTGAGGTTTGAGAAACCAAAGTCTAAGTCAACTTTGTCTTTGCAAAAGTCGGCGAATGACGTTTGATTTGTTCCCTTTACGTCTGTAATAGTGAATGGGTCTTGTGTTGGTGCAATGACTAAGTTATTTTTGCTTGGAGTAAGTTCGATAGAAATTTTTCCTGCCCAGTTTGGCAAGTATCTTAAAAACCTGAAGATGAGGAAAGATGACAAAGGAACTCTAAGTTTCAATTTTACTTTGGTTACTGCTGCTGCAGTTTGTCCAGAAAGGTTAACATAAACTCCTGGAACGTTAGGGTCAAGTCTTCTTATTTTCTCAATAGTTGCATACTGGTCTGTTTGTTCTCTAGCTTGTGGTTGTACTGAGTTTCTCAAAGCGAACCATTCATAGTTTGCCCATGTTACTGTTTGAACTAAGTCAGAGTTAGAATATATCTTATATCCCATGAAAACTTCTGGAGCATATTGGTATCCGACATAGAAAATTCCATTGCAACCTTTCTTGTCAGACAACTTGGCAGAAGGTTTTATTTCAATGTCTTGTTCCACGTATAAGAAAGAGTTGTCAATAGAAATAATATGAAACCTGTCGCAAGCAATATCTACTGTTGTTGAAGAACCTTCTCCAAACTCACCTACGTTTCCATAAGAAACAGCAGTTGTATATTCGTAAGTTCCAGGAACTATTTCTGACCTTCTAATGGCATTGTCGCATTCGTTATACCATTCGGAAACATTTCCATTCATGGCATCCAAAACTGTTGGCGTTATATTCTGAGCGGCGTACATTTCATATGTGTAAAAATATAGAATAGTTGGATTTATATGTCATAATAGAACCCACTCGGACCATGCTTTACTTTCTTCCTGACTGAGTGTTTAACTCTTCTTTTTCCTTCATTGCCACTACTTTCACTAGATGAAGTTACTTCTTCACTACTTTCTCCAACTCTTCTTCTTTGGTGTCGCTTTGGTAACTTGCCCTCTGCTTCAAGTTGTTGCATCTTTGCCTCATGTTCATCTAGTATTTTGCAAATTTCCCATGTCCTTTTTGCCTTTGGGCTCTGGTCGCCCATCTCAGGTAACCTATATCCTAGAAAGAGTTTGTCATAGTTTGTATTTGAGTCTTCGCTTATTGTTTGCATGACTCTTTCCTGAGTTTCCGGTTCAAGCTCTTCAAACAGTGCCTGTCCATATGGAATATGCTCGTTTCCAAATATATGTTTTTGTAGCCATTCTGGTTTTCTTTCCATGTAACCAATAATATCTTTTGTGAATGGGAAAGCTTTTACCCAATGTTTCAGTCTTGCGTCATTTATTTCTGTAGTTGGTTTTATTTTGTCAAGGAACATGTTTTTCAATACTAACATTTCATTTGGTACTGTCCATTTGAGTTTTCTTAAATATTCATCCCTTCTCAGTTCATCGCCTGCAAAGTAAGTTTTTATGACATTTTGTAAACTTTCGTTTGCAAGGTCATGTACAATAGGTTCTCTTCCTTCTCTGTCCCTAACTCTCTTTCTAAACTCTTCACCAAATATACCATCTTTATGGTTCTGTGTAGTTCTTTGAGATAAATGTTCTAGAACGTCAGGTGTTATATTTCCATCAGCCATGTTCATTTCATACTGGTTCCAAAATATCTGCATCTTTCATATCTTTCAATGGCATTAAAGCCGCGCTTAAAATACCAGCTATATCTTGTTCACCATTGACTTCCATTGCGTCTACAACTTCTTGGAATTGTGGTTGTAAGTTTATGAACCACCTATCCGGATTAGCTTTATGACCCCATCTCATTGTAGTTCCATAGTCTGCAGAAACAAAAGTAGGTTTGTTTCCATATTGGTTAGGTTCTGAATGAACTTTAAACAATGTTTCATTTCTATATGTTTTGTTGAAATTTAACCTTTTATTTTCACCGAGTTCAGCCAAAGATTGAACGTTATATGGTCGTAAGTAAAAAGGGTTGTTGTATTTGTGTACATTTTCTTTCAGTACTTCCATTCTTTGCTGAATATTTTCATCTGGTGTTGGAGTCTTTTGTATGTCGGCAAACATTTTTCGATATTCTTCTACTATGTCAGCCGAATTTTTCTTAGACTCTTGGAAAGATTCCATATTCACCTCATACTCTTGTTGAGGGTCAAGATTTTTCGGCTGTTCCAAATCTTCATCTAGTTCTGTGAGGTTAGTTTCCAAAGGAGCGACTTGTTCGTTTCCTTCAGGCTCTTCTAGCTGTTGTTGCTGAACTATTTCTTCCATGTCTGGTTGTATCTGAACTTCTTCCTGTGGAGTTTCTTGTACCTCATCTGCTGGCATTTCATATATTCCGAGACCGTTTTCAACAATTTCCCTATCTAAGTCATCCGGACTCATAAACCTTTCTTCTTTCGTTCCGTCTCTATTTTTTACGCGTTTCATGAAGAGAGTTGTATTGTCATTTAGCTCTGACACCAAATATCTCGGAGTAAATTCGTTCATGTCATTTGGATGATATGCTATTAAATCATATCCCTTAGTGAGCTTGTATTTTCCAGGTTTGAGATTATATCCTTTATGGTGCTGAGCCATAAAGCTAAATAGGTTCGGGTCAGTATTTCCATCCTTGAACTTTCTAATAGCTTCTTTATATCTGTCACTAAAGTCAAGAGTATCTGGGTAACCATAATCTTCCTTAAGCATTTTTAAGAATTCTTGGTTTCCTTTTTCTCTACTTCTTTTATGTCTTTGCTCTGTTTGTGGTTGTTGTGCTGGTTGTGGAGGTGGTTGTTGTGCTGGTTGTTGTTGTTGTGCAGGGTTTTGAACTGTTGGTTGTTGTGCTGGTTGTGGAGGTGGTTGTTGTGGAGGGTTTTGAACTGTTGGTTGTTGTGCTGGATTTTGAACTGTTGGTTGTTGTGTTGGTTTTGGTGCATGCCTGTGTCTGTGTCCATGTGACCATGTAAATGTTCTAGGTAGTCCTGGTGCAAATGCTTCTCTTGGAGGGTTTGGTGGTATATAAGTTCCACCAGCTGGCACATATGTTCCATCTGCAGCGTAATGTCCTACCTGACTTTTCGTTCTTAAGAAAGCATTTACTAGGTCTGTTTTGGTCTGTTGTAACTCTTTTTCTTGACTTTCCACAACAGTTGCTCTAACGGCGTCATAGGCACTTTGAACTGCCTGTCTCGTTGCTGCATCTGTTATTTTCGTCATATTTTGTGCTACTTCTCTTAACTCTTTGTCGAAACCTTCAGACTTCAGTTTCTTTCCAGATGAGAAGTCGTTCACTAGTTTCACCTTACTATGAAGAGCTTCGAAGGCGTTCTTAAAGTCAGCATTCATTAAAGCTTCATTTGAACTGTCTTCATCCGCTTGTATTTTTGTCCTTATTGACCCTATAAGTTGGGCTGCTTTAGCGTCGGCTTGGGCATCTAACCAGTCATTGTTAGCTTTTATATATTCTGCGCTTTTCATTGCCTTTTGCATGGCTGCGTCGTTATTTTTACTTTCTTGTGCTAAGTTTTCATACTGTACGGTTTGGTTTTGCAACTGTAAAAGTTTTTCTGCCTTTACATTTGCTTCAACTTCTTTTTTATACTCATCGCTTTCCATATATGTCTTCAGGGCTTTTTGTTTTATCTCTTCATCTTTCAGTACTTTATATTGAGTAGTATGGTTTTTCAAATTATGACATCTTGTTCCATTTTTGCTACTTCTGCTGCTTTTTCTGACACTTTTTTCGCATATTCCTCTGTACTTAGTTCTTTCAGTTGTTCTTCTTTCTTCTTTTTCTCTACGTTTAACTCATTGAGTTTCTTTGTGTGTCTGTCATATTCTAGTTTCTTTTCGTTTTCACTTATTTGCTTCTGTATGTCTATGTTTGACTTTTTGACATCTGTTATTTGATTTTTGAGTGAACTCAAATTCATTTGACTTTGAGGTTATAGGCTGTTCCGTCTGCAGCTCCACCATAGCCTGCCATTTTCGCTAAAAGTGCCGCTCTTAAACCTCCACTCTGTGCACCAATGACTCGGTTTAAAAGCATAGGATTGCTTGACATTTGTTGCAACATAGTGGGGTCATTCAGCATTTGTTGTTGCAACTGTTGTTGTGGTGTTAGTCTTACTATTGGATGTTTCAATGCTCCCTTCCTCTTACGTATATTCTTACGTAGCTTACGTGGCATTTTAAGTGAAGTTAAAAAGCGGCTTTTGACAGATGTTTATATGACACTTTTTGTTCAGCACAAAAAACTACTCGGTCAAAGTGTTGTCAGTTTTGTAAAATAACCGTCCTATCTCATTCTATAAGGGAAAAGGCTTCTCAAAGTATACTTCCTTGGAACGCCTGTAACTTTTCCTGTAGCGACGATAGACCCTTACTTGTCCGGACAAAGTTATACCATTTTGAGTGCTCTACAAAAAAGTCAACGGCGACGACTCTCAAAAACCGTTGTGTAAAAAGTTTTTACCGTTGGACAAAAAAGTATATATAGAAAACAAAAAACGTTTATAGTTCATTCAATATTTGAGATGGAACGGTTTGCCAACGGAGACTTTTCAATAAAATAAAAAAATAGAGGGGGTTACCGTTGACAAAAACGGTTTATTTCAAACTTTTCTATGAGTAGTCCGAAAAAAACAGTTCATTTTTCATAATGGAAGGAAGAAAAAGTGTCGCAAACAATTCGTCGACTACCTCTGCAGTTAAAGTTCCTACAACTTATGTCTCACCATTCTCAAAACCCTTACGACCTCCTATAATACCAAAGCAACCTCCTCATACAATTCAAGACAAATTGTCCAACAATATGCATTTGCACAAAGAAACAGCTCAGCCAACAGGTCAGGCAACAACAACTATCGGAACAGAAGCATTTTCAGAAGAAGTTCATACCAATCAGACTCCAATCGAACATACAGAAACACAACCACCCGAAAATACAGAAACACATCCAATCGAACATACAGAAACACATTCTGCAATGACCACTAGGTCGCAAACACGATATCTCGCCTTTAGCAAACAATTTAAGTCTCAAATTCAAGACACACAAGATAGCGACACTCCTCTTTCAGAGAAAGTTCGTAGAAAATACGCAAAGCAAAGGTTAGAATTGTTAGATAAGTTAAATGAACAGTGGGGTTCAGAAGACAATCGAGATTATAACGAGATGTTTCAAGCTGTCATGGATGCCATTCAGCCTCTTGAAAACGAAATCAAAGACCCTGGCGTACTTGTTGACATGTTTGCTTCATATTTACCCGTTACTGCCAATCTCATAGCGTTGCAAGCTATTGACCAGTTCATTCACTTGTTTCCAAAGAACTTGCAGAAGCATTTACAAGAAGTTAAAATTGCTGAATTTGTCCGTTTATATCCAAATTCATACAATTATTTGGAAGAATTGAATGAACATGGTGAAAGGTCATTCTATTTATATTTCTACACAAAAGACAACCAGTCAAAACGACTATACTGCATTGAACCTATGCCTCAATTCTTAGACAATTTCCACGTTATAACAACTGTTGCTTTAGATATTCCTGCCAGAGTTCCATATGGAGGAACAGTAACTATCTCAAGCTTTCCCAGGGGCTATAAAGGAAAGCCTCTCACAATTGCAAAATTCACACACAGCAGTTGCCAATTTGTTCAAGATGTCGAGTTCCATTTCCTCAACAATATGACTTTCATCATAGAGACTCCTCAAGAAGGTATATACAAAGTTTTCATCGCAGGATTTGTTGCTCCCAATGGCGAAGAAGAAGAAGTCGAAGAAATCCTCACCTCAGAGAGCGAAGAAGAAGAAAATATCCAAGACATTCAAGATTCAGAATATACCGAATAAAAACTGCATTTTATACTAACATCTTAGGGGCTAGAGGGCGCAACGCGCCTGGAAGCCCCACTTCCCTTTTTTTTTTTTTTTTTTTTTTTTTTTTTTTTTTTTTTTTTTTTTTTTTTTAGAAATCAATGCAAACATGAATATAATGCTTTAATTATCTTTTTTAATTTTGGAAAGATTTCTTCGCAAAAATTAACTAAATTTTAGAGAATTTTACTATATGATAGATAAACAAACAGGATATTTAAAAAAAATAATGGACTAATTCTACGAGTCTTCAAATAAAAAAAAATCTGAATTGAAATTTCATCTCTTAACCGCTAATACTCACAAAAAATCAACTCTCAAAATTAAATTATTGATGAATGTATCTCCATATAATTAGTTAAAAGCATACAAAACGATTAGATTTTTTCATCTCAATTTCGATTTTTCTATATGTTTTTGAATCTGATAAATTAACATAACATGATTAATAATAGCTGTTAAGCATGTTTCTGAACTTTTATCTTTTTCCTATCAAAAGGAATCTTATTGAATTATTTCAATATCATACTTTTTAATACACAATTTTTGAGAAGAAAGATTCAATATGCTAGAAATAACCATTTGAATCATTATTTTCCTTGTTAGAAATGTCTCTTGAAGAGAACCACATGACAATGATGCCACAAGCAACCCAGGCAAAGCGTGGAAAGAACAAATTCACTCTTGCTGAAGATGCTGCTCTTCAAACACTTGTTAAGAAGTACGGAGAATGCGATTGGTCAACAATCTCCAGGATCATCAGAACAAAGAACTCTCGCCAATGCCATGACAGATGGTTCTATTATCTTACTCCAAAGTTGAATCGTGGACCATTTACAGAAGAGGAGGACAACAAACTTGTTCAACTCGAAAAGAAATATGGCCAGCATTGGGTCAAGATTGCCAAGCATTTTTCTGGCCGCACTGATACTCAGATAAAGAACAGATGGAACGTTCTCAAGCGCAGGATTGAGAACGAAAAGCCTATACCAATACAACAGATTGCACCAATTCAAGAAACAAAGATAGAACAAACACAAAAGACGATTGTTACTCCTCCGGGAGCAATCACCCAAAGATTATTTGAAAATTTGTTTGAATTTGAAGATTTAGATTCACTTGATGATCCTTTTGCATCTGTGTTCTAAGTCTAATTTATGTGTTACGTATTTATATATCCTTTCAACTCTTTTATTATCTCAAGTTTCTTGATAATAAAGTAATGTTTCTCATGGTCATTGGGAGTATCAATTACAAGATTAGGACCGCATTAGAGTGATTAATGGTTCTAATTCAAACACAAAGAGTTTTAAGGATTTGCATTTTCACACAAAATCTCTCTTAAAACTCCAAGTGATCATCATGCGTGATCATAAGCTGATACTTCTGAATTGGACACCACAGCTGATAACATTGAAGTCCAATTTTCTAATATCATCTTTTGACCATACAAATTTGATCCAAAAATCCATCCATTGGAAACATAACTTATTATCATGCTATTCTTATAGAGATAATTTAAGAGTAGAAAGGACAATATATTTTATGAATTTAATGAGTGATATTATTATACTTAGAGTACTTAATTTGAAATACTGAGCTTGATGTTATGAGATTGTTGAGGCTGCATATCGCCAATTCATGATTATATAATTTATGAAAAATATTTATAAGAATTTTTTAAAAAATAAAATATATATCATCATTTATCCATGAAATTACAAATATTTGCCATAGAATAATTCTTGAATTTTAATCTTTTCTTCGATACGAAAACAATGAATCACGAATGTAGACTTATTTTTCTCAAATTATAAAGGGTTGAATTATATTTTGAATATGCAACATAGAGGCTTACAAAGATTTCGGAGAATTCAATCAAGAGTAATATTGAAAGGGTCATTTATTCAGAAAGGTCGGATATTTCGAAAAATATTGCATGATTAAAAGAGCTAAAAAGATGGAATTCATCTTACAACTTTGGGTTATGATGAATCTTGTACTTTGCTTCAATGAATGGTTTGTGGTGTTATAGACCGAAAATAGATTTTTTCGGTTTTCTCTTCAAATAATTGAAAGAATGATACTATTATAGGTTTATTATATTATATAGCATATAATCATGCTATAGCCGAAAATTATAAGTTTTGAGAAGATTGAATATAACACAATTAAATTTGAAAGTAAGTTAAATTGCTTGTTGTTTTTAATATGTATTTAATGAGAAATCCAATATTGCAAAATTCAAATTGAATGATTGAAAGAACAGAAAAAGTCGTTCTTTTCAATTTCGAATATGTTTCATTGTATTTATAATTATATGGCAAATAAGATATTTAAACTTGATTTTTGAAGGAAAATTCACAAAATTGAATAAATTCAAATAATTTTTATTCAAAAATAAACTAGTTATTTGAGTTTAATACTAATTATCTATTCAAACTACAAAGTTTGTAATTTAAAATATTTTGTGAGATCAGATTGAATTAATTCAAGGTTCTTTTCAATTAATATTAATGACCATATTACGCATTTTCGAACATTCTAAACCAAATATATTAAAATGGGAGACGAATGTTAAATTTGCTAGACATGGGGGAGTTGTCTGCAAAGTTTTAGCTCTTATCTCTAACAAAATTAATTTTTAAAAAAATGACCGAATACGTTTCACAGCGAGAAAAAAATAAAAGGCAAGATAGAATTTTCTAGACATAAAGAAGTTGTTTACCGAGTTTTAGCTCTTATCTCTAACAAAAAATTAATTTTTTAAAAAAATGACCGAATACGTTTCACAGCGAGAAAAAATAAAAGGCAAGATAGAATTTTCTAGACATAAAGAAGTTGTTTACCGAGTTTTAGCTCTTATCTCTAACAAAAAATTAATTTTTAAAAAAATGACCGAATACGTTTCACAGCGAGAAAAAATAAAAGGCAAGATAGAATTTTCTAGACATAAAGAAGTTGTTTACCGAGTTTTAGCTCTTATCTCTAACAAAAAATTAATTTTTAAAAAAATGACCGAATACGTTTCACAGCGAGAAAAAAATAAAAGGCAAGATAGAATTTTCTAGACATAAAGAAGTTGTTTACGAGTTTTAGCTCTTATCTCTAACAAAAAATTAATTTTTTAAAAAAATGACCGAATACGTTTCACAGCGAGAAAAAAATAAAAGGCAAGATAGAATTTTCTAGACATAAAGAAGTTGTTTACCGAGTTTTAGCTCTTATCTCTAAAAAAAATTAATTTTTAAAAAAATGACCGAATACGTTTCACAGCGAGAAAAAAATAAAAGGCAAGATAGAATTTTCTAGACATAAAGAAGTTGTTTACCGAGTTTTAGCTCTTATCTCTAACAAAAAATTAATTTTTTAAAAAAATGACCGAATACGTTTCACAGCGAGAAAAAAATAAAAGGCAAGATAGAATTTTCTAGACATAAAGAAGTTGTTTACCGAGTTTTAGCTCTTATCTCTAACAAAAAATTAATTTTTAAAAAAAATGACCGAATACGTTTCACAGCGAGAAAAAAATAAAAAGGCAAGATAGAATTTTCTAGACATAAAGAAGTTGTTTACCGAGTTTTAGCTCTTATCTCTAACAAAAAATTAATTTTTAAAAAAATGACCGAATACGTTTCACAGCGAGAAAAAAATAAAAGGCAAGATAGAATTTTCTAGACATAAAGAAGTTGTTTACCGAGTTTTAGCTCTTATCTCTAACAAAAAATTAATTTTTAAAAAAATGACCGAATACGTTTCACAGCGAGAAAAAAATAAAAGGCAAGATAGAATTTTCTAGACATAAAGAAGTTGTTTACCGAGTTTTAGCTCTTATCTCTAACAAAAATTAATTTTTAAAAAAATGACCGAATACGTTTCACAGCGAGAAAAAAATAAAAGGCAAGATAGAATTTTCTAGACATAAAGAAGTTGTTTACCGAGTTTTAGCTCTTATCTCTAACAAAAAATTAATTTTTAAAAAAATGACCGAATACGTTTCACAGCGAGAAAAAAATAAAAGGCAAGATAGAATTTTCTAGACATAAAGAAGTTGTTTACCGAGTTTTAGCTCTTTCTAACAAAAAATTAATTTTTAAAAAATGACCGAAAATACGTTTCACAGCGAGAAAAAATAAAAGGCAAGATAGAATTTTCTAGACATAAAGAAGTTGTTTTACCGAGTTTTAGCTCTTATCTCTAACAAAAAAATTAATTTTTAAAAAAATGACCGAATACGTTTCACAGCGAGAAAAAAATAAAAGGCAAGATAGAATTTTCTAGACATAAAGAAGTTGTTTACCGAGTTTTAGCTCTTATCTCTAACAAAAAATTAATTTTTAAAAAAATGACCGAATACGTTTCACAGCGAGAAAAATAAAAGGCAAGATAGAATTTTCTAGACATAAAGAAGTTGTTTACCGAGTTTTAGCTCTTATCTCTAACAAAAAATTAATTTTTAAAAAAATGACCGAATACGTTTCACAGCGAGAAAAAAATAAAAGGCAAGATAGAATTTCTAGACATAAAGAAGTTGTTTACCGAGTTTTAGCTCTTATCTCTAACAAAAAATTAATTTTTAAAAAAATGAACGAATACGTTTCACAGCGAGAAAAAAATAAAAGGCAAGATAGAATTTTCTAGACATAAAGAAGTTGTTTACCGAGTTTAGCTCTTATCTCTAACAAAAAATTAATTTTTAAAAAAGACCGAATACGTTTCACAGCGAGAAAAAAATAAAAGGCAAGATAGAATTTTCTAGACATAAAGAAGTTGTTTACCGAGTTTTAGCTCTTATCTCTAACAAAAAATTAATTTTTAAAAAAATGACCGAATACGTTTCACAGCGAGAAAAAAATAAAAGGCAAGATAGAATTTTCTAGACATAAAAGAAGTTGTTTACCGAGTTTTAGCTCTTATCTCTAACAAAAAATTAATTTTTAAAAAAATGACCGAATACGTTTCACAGCGAGAAAAAAATAAAAGGCAAGATAGAATTTTCTAGACATAAAGAAGTTGTTTACCGAGTTTTAGCTCTTATCTCTAACAAAAAATTAATTTTTAAAAAAATGACCGAATACGTTTCACAGCGAGAAAAAAATAAAAGGCAAGATAGAATTTTCTAGACATAAAGAAGTTGTTTACCGAGTTTTAGCTCTTATCTCTAACAAAAATTAATTTTTAAAAAAATGACCGAATACGTTTCACAGCGAGAAAAAAATAAAAGCAAGATAGAATTTTCTAGACATAAAGAAGTTGTTTACCGAGTTTTAGCTCTTATCTCTAACAAAAAATTAATTTTTAAAAAATGACCGAATACGTTTCACAGCGAGAAAAAAATAAAAGGCAAGATAGAATTTTCTAGACATAAAGAAGTTGTTTACCGAGTTTTAGCTCTTATCTCTAACAAAAAATTAATTTTTAAAAAAATGACCGAATACGTTTCACAGCGAGAAAAAAATAAAAGGCAAGATAGAATTTTCTAGACATAAAGAAGTTGTTACCGAGTTTTAGCTCTTATCTCTAACAAAAAATTAATTTTTAAAAAAATGACCGAATACGTTTCACAGCGAGAAAAAAATAAAAGGCAAGATAGAATTTTCTAGACATAAAGAAGTTGTTTACCGAGTTTTAGCTCTTATCTCTAACAAAAAATTAATTTTAAAAAAATGACCGAATACGTTTCACAGCGAGAAAAATAAAAGGCAAGATAGAATTTTCTAGACATAAAGAAGTTGTTTACCGAGTTTTAGCTCTTATCTCTAACAAAAAATTAATTTTTAAAAAAATGACCGAATACGTTTCACAGCGAGAAAAAAATAAAAGGCAAGATAGAATTTTCTAGACATAAAGAAGTTGTTTACCGAGTTTTAGCTCTTATCTCTAACAAAAAATTAATTTTTAAAAAAATGACCGAATACGTTTCACAGCGAGAAAAAAATAAAAGGCAAGATAGAATTTTCTAGACATAAAGAAGTTGTTTACCGAGTTTTAGCTCTTATCTCTAACAAAAAATTAATTTTTAAAAAAATGACCGAATACGTTTCACAGCGAGAAAAAAAATAAAAGGCAAGATAGAATTTTCTAGACATAAAGAAGTTGTTTACCGAGTTTTAGCTCTTATCTCTAACAAAAAATTAATTTTTAAAAA